ATAGTGACTCAAGACATATATAAAACATATTATGGTGACACAATATATAATATTTCTCACATTAATATTAACCTTTAGACTTTATCTTCCTGCTACAAACTCCTAACTACTGTCAAGCTGTTGATCTACTTCCTTTCTTTTCGAAACTCACTATTTCACCCGTTATAAGCTCCAATTTCTTGTTTTGCTTACACTGGCACCTCACTATTTATAACCCCAATTTCTTGCATACTACTCAAGATTGTAAAGACTATTTGTTACCACGTTTCTACTGAGAAGTGATGTCACCTGTCCTGCTCGTTGACCCTTGCCTCATGACTTGTTCAAGAGTCCCTAAAGTCAATTACATTTAGCTTCATATAATTCTAAGGGTTATCACCCTTTTTGATAATTTACAATGATTTCTAAAATTATGTATAATTATAAGTTAGATTCACATCTGAAAATCTCATTACTAAACTATAAAATATCACTTACTCGACCAGTTAGGAAAAAAAAACTTTATTATTTTTTATTTTACTGTTTGAACCTTTTCTTCGAACCGTTTGAACCTTTAGGCGGTCGACCGGTTGGTCAACCGGCCGGGCAACCGGCTGGTTGACCGGATGGTCTCTCCCAACGGTCAGGAACAGTGATTTGGTGAAATACTTCGCATGTTCTCGTTTTGGTAAAAGATTTACTGAATTCTCGATTTGATATCGATTTGGTGAAACTATTGGAGCTTAAAAAAATGACTTTTTCATCAAATTTTAAATTTGATATCAGATTTGATGAACCATTGGAGATGATCTTACACTGGCACCTCACTATTTATAACCTCAATTTCTTGCATACTACTCAAGATTGTAAGACTATTTGTTACCACGTTGCTCCCACGTTTCTACTGAGAAGTGATGTCACCTATCCTGCTCGTTGACCCTTACCTCATGACTTGTCCAAGAGTCAGTTAAGTCAATTACATTTAGCTTCATATAATTCTAAGGGTTATCATTCTTTTTAGTAATTCACAATGATCTCTAAAATTATGTATAATTATAAGTTAGGTTTACATCTGAAAATCTCACTACTAAATTATAAAATATCACTTACCGCTTATTAAAATATTTAATATTAAAAATACGGTGTCTCACAATCTATTATTTTAACAAAGATTTTTAATATTCACTTTTTGACATACCAAGGAATTGTATTATTATTATTATTATTATTATTATTATTATTATTATTTCATATTCATGAATAATTAATATAATTACGGTTTTAAATTAAAAATTCGGTGTCAGACCCTGGTCCTTCACACCCTTTCTCACTGCATGGCTTCTTTCATGAGAAAAAAGAAAAAGAAAGTAGTGGTGTGTGTTGAAGAAAAGGGAGAAAGAGAGAAGGTGAAACAAATAAAGAAAGAGATAGTGGTTATTGGACAAGGAAGCAAGGCGAGGGAAATGATTGGTTAGAATGAGAAAGACTGGCTTCCGATGGCATACAAAAGAAAATTAGAGAAAGAAATAAGAGGAATTCGGACATTTTACAAAAATTGTTAACAGAGTTAGAATTTGCACTCTACTCCCTATCGAAAGGGGGTTATGTGAATATTTTTTACAAAAATGCTTGATAACTCGAATTTGTGTGGCTCAAATGGCTAGAACGTATCAAAACAATATCGTTTTACTCTTAAAACGATGTCGTTTTAAGACATTCAAGCCATTTGAGCCATGAAAATTTGAGCTACCAAGCATTGTTGTATTTTGGGTGAATTACACTAACAATCCCTATATTTTGGGGTTTGTATCACTTTGGCCCATGAGTTTTCAATTGTGACACATTTGACCTTGAATTTTGAATCTTATTCCAAATAAAGACAATTGAAGATATCATTACTTAATTTTAGAGGCAAAATCGTCAATTTAATAAAATATAAATTAATTTGACAAAAATAAATGTGAAAAAATTATTTTTACTCACCAACGATAAAATTATGAAAAATTGATAAATCTTTTAGATTTTTTTTTTACCAAATTAATTTTTATTATGTATTTAGATGGTGATCATGTAATGGGTGGTTGCTAGGATTTTGATGTGTAATCGATATATTTAATATACAAAATCTTTTAGTTTTGAATTTTTTTGATTTAATGGATTATTTTAATAATGATATCAAAATTATCGCCATATTTGACTTTTGAAAAAATAGAAACTAATTTAATGAAAATAAAAACAACCATCCATTACATGATCATCATGCAAACACATGCAAACACATAATAAAAATTAATTTGGTAAAAAAAAAATAAATAAATGTCTAAAAAATTTATCAATTTTATATAATTTTATCATTAGTGGGTAGAAATCATTTTTAAAAATTCAAAATAACATTTTTGACATTTATTTTTATCAAATTAGTTTATATTTTATTAAATTGATGATTTTGCCATTGAAATTAAGTAATGGATCTTCAATTGTTCTTATTTGGAACAAGATTTAAAATTGATGGTTAAATGTGTCACAATTAAAAAGTTAAAAATTAAAATAACACAAGTTCCAAACTATAAAGATTATTAATGTAGTTCGCCCTTATATTTTTAAACTCTAGGGAGGTAATGTATTTTCAAGGCAAACTATAAGGAGGTTAAGTATGATTAACCCGGATTTTTTCAATTAAAAAAGATTAGAAAAAGGCTGACGAAGGGTCGTTTGTAAAGTAAATTGATCCAAGTATCAATCCGAGACTCATTAAATAATCAAGTAAAGTGGAATAAAGTTTGGTAAAACTTGACGAAATGGTTTTAGTTGAAATTTCAGTGAATATTTCGAATAGGTAGCCCTTATTGCCACATCCACTTTCTTATTTATTAACGGAAAAGTTACTTTATTATATAATGTTAATAGATTTTTGTTAATGTATAATTTTAAGAGACATGTTATTAAAATAATTATACATTATAACGTACAATTATTTTAAATAATATTTCCTAAAGGTATGTTAACAAAATCACTGTTAAACATTTTTTTATCTCATCTATTTAAACTCTGCTCCACAAGTATTTAAACATATTTTAATTTCATGAATTGTTCACCAGCATCTCACCTAAAAATTTAAGTTACTAAAAGATATTCCACAATCAAAGGATCTGATTAAATAAGTACACGTGTACTCAATAACCAAAAAGTGTAATAACTTGGTGGGACGGATTAAATTAATCCACATAACAATGGCAACGATTAATATTATTATTAGGAATTTTTTACCGTATATTACATGTAAGTTATAAAATTTGTGATATTATTTATCACAAATAACATAATAACTAGATTTTTTTTGAGTTATAGCAATAAATCATAATTAAATATTACAAAAGTGTAACTAGAGCATATGGAACCTCAAGGGGTCTGGTTTAGTCGAAGGAGAAGGCAATTAAAGAACTTTCTATGTAAGAGGTCGTAGATTTCAATTTCACAAAGGCCAAACATTCTAAAGCTTAGGGCCTTAGAGATTTACTCGATCATTAATTTCAAAATCTTAAAATTAATCAAAATACATATAAGTTGATTCAAACATCTCATTATTTAAAAAATTAGAGCATATAGTACAGTCTCTGCAAGGAAATGTGTACCATAATATGACCCTTATGTATGGGAAGTAGTATGCTCGTGGTTTGGTGGCGGAACATTTGACGACCATATGCCACTTCAGTTTTTGAGTAGTTTTACGCACCACTCGTTATTTTTTGACCATTTTGACGGGAGGGTCAACCAGTAACCTCTGGTTGTGGCAAAGCAACCTCTTCTTCTATATCCACACCCTCTTCAAGATGTTCATTTTTCCAATGTCGTCTTCTCACCATGTTTTAATTAAACACAAAACATGTCTCACTAAGATCCCATTTAATTGTCCAAATTAGATATAAAGATTTTAAGAGAATATGTAACACTTAAAAATAAAGATGGGATAAAATATATTGTAAGATATGAGATAAATTATATATACTGTGGGGTCACTTATACTTTGTTAGTGATTGTTTTTGACCTCTGAATAAAAGATGAGTTATATCCAACGATGGGGGATATATAATATTATGAGGGGTGGTATTGCATATCTCCCTTTTTGCATCATGTACTATTTGGACTCGTGTTTAGGGTTGCTGCTGTGCATGGTGCGCAGCAGCTACTGTTGCACAACTTATTGGGTCCATTTTGAGGTCTAATTTGATAATCTAAACCGTTCATATTTTAGAAGTTATCGAGTAGAATATACCTGTAAAAAATCATGTCGATCAAATATCGTTATCTCTTTCATCAAATCACATTTGCATTGAGTTTTATGTTTCAAATTATATTTATCTTCTTCTTTTTTTTTTAAAACACAAATGCGATTCGATAAAAGAGCCAACGATATCTAATTGACGTGATTTTTTATTGGTATATTCTACTCGATAACTTCTAAAATATGAATGGTTTAAATTATCGAATTAGGCCCTAAAATAGGCCCAATAAGTTGTGCAATAGTTACTACTGCGCACCATATGCAGTAGCAACCCCAAACTCTTTGAACTCCCTATATCTGGAGCAACCAAACACGGAATATAGAAAGACAAAAAATCATATGGGAGTCACCTAATATTATATCCTGTCTCACAGCCATATCCGGCCTTTATGTTCGGTAAACAAATAGGGCCTAAGGGTGTTAAAAAATATATATTTTTTTGGCAGTTCGAATGTTAAAAATGTAAATTTATGTGTGCCAATAAGGAATGAATAACCCTCACATATATTCATCTAGCCAAACAACTGATCAAAGGATTGTGAAAGGTTCTTTTTATGTTAATCAAGACGATTTAAATGTTTGTGTTTAAGTGAGAACTAATTAGTGATAAAAGAGAATTAAATACAACAATAATTTGAAACAAAATGAGAGGCGGAGATTGAGACAAAAAATTATTAATTGAATATTTCAATTACGCTTGTTGTTATCTTGATTGTCTTGGCAACTTCGAAGGTAAAAACTAGTTACAAATTCTAAGTTAAAACATTCTCCTATGAATTGTAAGTGCAGAGCAAGAAAAATATAAAAACAAGTGATTGATCAGTGTTTTGATTTGTTCCGGAGCCTTCTCTGTCTTTCACTTTAGCTATTTATATGTGCTCTTTCATTCTCCAACAACTGCTTCCTCAACTGGATTCACCTCCTCTCCAGCGCTTTACAGTCTAGTTCCCTCCAGCCATTCCACCAGATGGAGACGCGTGGCGACAACGAATCCGACGGGCGAAAAGGGAGCCACGTCTGTGATGCTCAAGAAACAAACAAAACGACGCCAAGTTCTATCGTTTTAGCTAGATGGAGGTATGTAACGGAAAGTTTTTTTTTTATTTTTTATTTTGAATTACATATCCAGATTCAAATCCCTTCTCCCGCCTTTTTCATAAATTCAGAACCCAATCCCTCCTTCCCTCTCTCTCTCTTTCTCAGAACCCAGTCCCCTATCTATGATTCAGTTTTTTTTCCATTTATAATCAATCGATAGTAGAAGGCTTCGCCATCCTTGGACTCCATCATTTGAAAATCTTTGTTTACCCAAACAATTGTAAACACCAAAGGTTAGATTTGTAGTAGTTTATTTTCATTTTTTTTTATTTGGGTTCAAATCCATTCCAAGTGTATGATGAAATGCCTCAATGAATCATGGACTTGCAAACATGGGTGTGAATCATGGTGAAAATCTGGAAGTTAGATTCTCATATATATATATATATATTTGCTAGTCTGTTTGAGAACCCACCTAAAATCTAGAAGCAATAATTTTCATGCTTATTTATATATGTTCATTTATAAATGAGCACATATAAATCTCATTTATATATTTCACTGAACAGATTAACAATAGTCTGTCAGTTTGAGAACTCATTAATATATGCTCATTTATATATGATGCTCATAAATCTAGTAATTTTAGAAAACCCACCTAAAATCTGGTATGTATATGATGCTTATATTTCACTGAAAAGATTTTTTTCACTCTTAAGCAGAAACAAATTTGTCATATCAATCAAGGTTAGGCTTTTAGATACTTTTGTAAAGTTTTTCTATTGATTTAGGAGAAGACAATCATTTTTCCACAAATCAAATATTTAGAAAAAGAAAAAATTGATTTAGTAGATAGTATGAAATAGAACATTAATGTGTAAAACAGAGCCTCAATATCATTTAAGAACATTAAACCATGTACTGCTTTCACATATTTATTAGATAAAAAATCATGTTTACTGTTTTGCATTTTAGGTATTGGATATATCGAAGATTGATGATTTAACAATTGCTACCCAAATGGATGTTCATGGCGAGGATGATACACAATGTAAATCCATATTAGGTATGGAATTTGACTCTGAACAATCAGCTTATGAATTTTATAATTCTTATGGAGGAAGAGTTGGATTTAGTATTAGAAAAGAATATGCTCATAAAAGTAAGACCAGTGAAATTACTTCAAGGACATTTGTTTGTTCTAAGGAGGGTCTTAGAAAATCTGATAAAAGAGGTTTTACTGTAAGGATTCCTAGGGCGGAGACAAGGACCGGTTGTGGTGCTTTGATGAGCATTAAATTAATTAGGCAATTTGGAAAGTATAGAGTTATCAATTTTGTAGAAACACATAACCATCCCCTTGCAGTAAGTGCATGTGCTCATATGCTTCCTTCCCAAAGAAAAATTTCCACCTCTCAATATATTGAAATGGATTTAGCAGCTGACTGTGGGAATATCTCGCAAGAGTTGATTTTGTGATTTGTTTTGGGTATGAAATTTTATTTTTGGGACAATGAAGAATATCTCGCAAGAGTTGATTTTGTAGATATTGTTGTTAATAAGCATATTTGATGAGGCAGGTATGAAATTGTTTATAAGGATGTATTGCAGGACAACACTAATGTGGTTGAGTTGAATTCACTGAGATTGTACAATTGGATTGTTATAAAATAGATTTGTTTTAAAACTTCATTGGCTTAGACTAAGGGAAATCTGATTTGTTATAAAATAGATTGGCTTAGACTAAGGGAAGCAGAAAAGCTTCAGAATTTTACACATGGGTCGACCACTTGGATGACCACCCGGTTGACCAACCGGTCGACCAGTGCCTGCAAAATTGGCCTATTTCAAACAGTTCAAAAAGTAAAAAAAAAAAAATTGCCTTTACTGGTCGACCAACCAGTTGACCCACGAAGGTAGGTTCAAACAGTTCAAAAAGGTAAAAAAAAAGGATGTATTGCAGGACAACACTAATGTGGTTGAGTTGAATTCACTGAGATTGTACAATTGGATTGTTATAAAATAGATTTGTTTTAAAAACTTCATTGGCTTAGACTAAGGGAAATCTGATTTGTTATAAAATAGATTGGCTTAGACTAAGGGAAGCAGAAAAGCTTCAGAATTTTACACATGGGTTGACCACTTGGATGACCACCCGGTTGACCAACTGGTCGACCAGTGCCTGCAAAATTGGCCTATTTCAAACAGTTCAAAAAGTAAAAAAAAAAAAAATTGCCTTTACTGGTCGACCAACCAGTTGACCCACGAAGGTAGGTTCAAACAGTTCAAAAAGGTAAAAAAAAAAATTTAAAAAAAAATTAATTCATTTATCTATTTTATTTATTATAAGTGTTGAATCATTCCGTTAGTCACCTTTCGTTAACCCAAAACTACTAATTTCAATGTCGTTTTGTTAACTCAGCAACTCCATAGACGTGGCCTCCTTGGTGTCTTCAGATCTACTAAACGCCACGCGTCTCCATCTGGTGGAATGGCTGGAAGGAACCAGACTGTAAAGCGCTGGATAGGAGGTGAATCCGAGGACAACTCCATGATCTGCATCAATATAGCTACATTCGTGCAGCTTTTTCCTCTTTCTACTCCGAATTTGAATTCCAAAACTTTAGCTGCTTCTTTATAATTGCTTGAAATTGAAATAGTTACAGCTTTGCTCTTTAACTTCAAATATAACAAAGCTATGAGTTGTCACGTGACACCTTCTATGACCTAGTATTTGCTCCTTTCTAATCTTGTCACATGTTATCTTTCAATTGGCAGAATCCACCTCTTTGTTTTCGGTCACATGTCACCTTTGAGTTGGTGGTTTTAAATTTGGCGCCAACACAAACACAGCCGAACACAATTACAAAAATAGAAATATTAGGTAGAAGACTTGGAGAAAGAATGTGTGTTTGGTTTGAGTTTTTTTGATTAAATTTTTTATTTTTCATATTTTTTTTGTTTTTAGTGAATATTTTTAAAATTTTAAGCATTTTTTTAAAATTTTTTTAGATGCACCTTATTTAGATGTATCTAAAAAGTAAACAAATTGTGAAAATATATTTTAAAAAATTAATAAATACATAAAAATTATGAAAAATATATTGAATTCTAGTATTTTTTAAAATATATTTTTGGTATGTAGTGAATTTTTAAAAGATTTTTTTCACAAAAATTATATTTTTTATGTGTATTTATATTATGTGTGTCTAAAAATTAAAAAAATTGTTTAAAATATTAAAAAAATTCAGTAAAAATAAAAAAATAAGAAAGTATAATTTTCTAAAAAGTATTTTTGAAAAACCAAAAATAAATAAATTTTTAGCACAATATATTGTATGAAGTACTCCAAACTTGTTTTGACCCTCACGTCAGTACCTTATCCCTCGTTTGGGATGATCTAAATAAGTGCACTTTTTGAATTTTTATGAAATATGAGTTGGGTTTGAAGTGATGTTGTAGAGAGATGATGTGACTTAAACAAGATGATATGATAAATAGGATAGTGACTTTTTGACTTTTTTAGGGTACCCCAAACAAGGCCGTATCTTGCTCGAGAGCACTTTGAACTTGTGCTCTACACTTTAGGGGTTATTTAGGAAATGTCATATTAGTATATTTTTTGATTTTTTATAAATATATATATATATATATATATAAATATAGGTTGAAATTGAAGTAATATATAGTAGAGAAGTAATATAACTCAAATAAATGAATTATGACTCAAATAAGATAATGTGCTAAAATAACATGTGTTACCGCTTACTTAATTTGTTTGTACTCCAAGTTGATACTAAAAAATAAAATAAATCGCTGAGTCCAAATTTAAAAGTGACTCATAAAATACAAGTTAAATTAAAGAAAGTTTTAAGTAATTAAAATTTTATTTAATTTTAACTGAATTTATAACTATTTATGCATAAGTATCGATGTGTACCATTATGATCTTATTATTGTCACCACCACCATCTCTATCACCATCATTGCCACGGCTACCCCCACCACTGTAACACCCGCCTTTTACTTAACTGTTACTTTTATGATTAATCTGAATTATGCATTTATCTATGTCTTATATGCTTATTTATGTGCATTATGTTTGTTAACAGATATGTTCCTTTATGAAAAGACCTGTCTGACTCGTTAAATCATAGGGTTATAAAGTAACTAATGGACTTGGTGGCTAGAGTTGGTTCACTTTAATTAGGTCAAGGAGTAATTTAATTAATTAGCTAGAAAAGTTAAGTAATGAGACTATCATTTAATTAATCCAAGTATATAATTTAGATATAGATATGTATCTCTATGTATGGACAAGTTGAACTCAATTAGAAGAAAGAGAGAGTGTGAGAGAGTGTTCTAGAGTTTGAGTTGAGTGAGTGATCAAGAAAAAGGAGAGAGTTTGAGACCACTTCATCAATTAACACATTAAGGTATGAATTTGTTGGACCATTTTAATATCTTTTATTTATTTATTTATTTACATATTTTGTTCATGAATCATCTTTTATCTTGTTCATGAATCTCATTTTATTCATGAATGGAGATTCATTGTTTTGGTGACCTTTTGTCTTGTTCATGAATGGAGATTAATTAGAATTCATGAACTTAGTGGTGAGTTAATATTAGGATACACTCTCTCTTTATCTAGGTTTATGGTCATTATTTTTTTTGTGTGTATTTTGTAATGTCCTAGTGGCCTATAAATAGTTCCTCTCATCTATTCTTTTCTACACCAACACACCAACTATTTTCTATACAAGAGAGATTACTAGCAAAGAATGGTGTTTTTCTTGGTGGAGCTTTGGGTTCATCATCTTGTGCAAAGTTGGCTTGAACCATACGACAAGTGGTCGAGCTATTGTATCCTGGAGGGGACAAGTCATAGTTTTGTGACTGCTGCATCGGTATTTGGGTTCTTCCTACCGCAGTGGGCTTGATCTCCTTAAAGAAAACGAGATATCCGTGCCTCAGCCTGATCTATTTGTATCTCATTTTCTTTGCATTATTTATCAATAAAAATATAAATTTTATGGTATTTTCACCAACAATTTTAACGAAATCAAACATGGATCAAGTACTAGAAAAAACCAATGATAGAATTGGAAATCTCAACAAGTCTTTCAAGTTCAAGGGAGTTCATTTTAAGAGGTGGAAAGGAAAAATTCTTTTTTACCTTTGGAAAGCTACATATGTTCTGGCCGAGAAAAATTCAAACAAAATCCTAACCGAGGAAATGAATGATGAAGACTACGAGGTACATGAAGCAAAAGTAGCTTCCTACAATACAGATGAGTATAAATGTCAATTTTATTTCTTAAATTTCCTTGCTTATTAATTTTATGGTTATTACTATGACACTACTTACACTTTGTCTTCTATTAATTTTTAACATGCTTGCTTGTGTCATATTAACAGTAAATATGTGGGAATTATGAGTAGTTTATGATTAATTCCTAAAATGACAAAAAAAATTTAGAAATATGAAGTTTGCAGTAAAGCAAAAATTATCAAGAGGCCTCATAAAAGTGTTAAAAAAAATACCAAATTGCTAGAATTATTTCATACTAATTTGTGTGAGTTTGATGCAATTTTAACTCGGGGTGGTAACCGATATTTTATTACTTTTATTAATGATTTTTCAGAATACACAAACGTATATTTATTAAAAAATAAAAGTGATGCTTTTGAGAAATTTAAAGAATTCCGTCTTGAAGTGGAAAATCAATTCGGTAAAAAGATTAAGAGAATTAGAAGTGATAGAGGCCGAGAGTATGAATCTCTTGGATTCAACTCTTTTGTTCAGTCATTGGGAATTATTCATGTGACTACTCCACCATATTCACCTTTATCTAATGGCGTAGCTGAAAGAAAAAATAGAACGTTAATTGACTTGACGAATGCTATGCTTATTGATTCAGGTGCTCCCTCAAATCTTTGGGGCGAGACTATTTTGACAGCTTGCCATATGATAAATAGAATGCCACACAAAAAGACTAAAATTGTACCTTATGAGTTATGGCAGGGGCATAAACCAAATCTAGGTTATTTGAGGGTTTGGGGTTGTTTAGCTTTTGTAAGGCTTGCAGATCCTAAACAACTTAAATTAGGTGAACGAGCTACCACCTGTGCTTTTCTTGGATATGCGTTGCATAGTACAAGGTGATACTATTTTTCATGAAAACAAATTTCCTTTCAAATCTAGAAATAGTGGGGGTCATATAATTTCTGAAAATATTTTATCCATGCCTAGCTCTTCTTCTTTATCTCAAATTTTTTAAGAACAAGAAAATTTTCAAATCCAACCAAAAAGAAGTAAACGAGCTAGTATTGAAAAAGATTTTGGCCCTGACTATTATCTTTATAATGTGGATGAAATTCCTCTTACGGTGCAAGAAGATTTATCATCACGTGATGCTATTTTCTGGAGAGAGGCTATAAATGATGAGATAGATTCACTACTTTCAAATAAAACATGGAAGCTAGCGGATTTACCTCTAGGTTGTAAAACTATTCGGTGTAAATGGGTCCTTCGTAAAAAACTTAAACCGAATAGAACTATAAATAAATATAAAGCGAGGCTTGTAGCTAAAGGTTTTAAGCAACAAGTTGATCTTGATTTCTTTGATACTTTCTCTCTAGTTACTAGAGTTACATCCATTAGACTATTGATAGCAGTGGCTACAATTCATGATTTTAAAATTCATCAAATGGATGTGAAAACAACATTTTTAAATGGAGATCTAGATAAGGAGATTTATATGGACCAACCCGAAGGCTTTGTGGAGCATGACCAAGAAAGCAAGGTGTGTAAGCTAACTAAATCCCTTTTATGGTTTAAAACAAGCTCCTAAACAGTGACATGAGAAATTTGATTCCTGTATGCTTGAGAATGGCTATAAGACTAATGAATGTGATAAGTGCATATTTTATAAAACTTGTGAGAATGCACATGTGATTATTAGCTTATATGTAGATGATTTACTTATCTTTGGCTCTAATTTGCATATTATAAATGAGACTAAAAATATGCTCAATAGCCACTTTGATATGAAAGATCTTGGTGAAGCCAATTTTATTTTGGGAATTAAAATTACCACAACTAATGATGGCATTTTTCTTGATCAGTCGCATTATGTTGAGAAAATTTTAAAGAAATATAACTTTCTAAACTGTAAACATGTTGCAACTCCTTTTGATGCAAACGTACATTTATCTGTTATAACAAATGAAAAAGAAGTGATTAATCAAAAGGAATATGCTAGCATGATTGGTAGTTTGAGATATTCTACTGACTGTACTAGACCTGACATTGCAGATGCTGTTAGAGTACTTAGCAGGTTTACTAGCAAGCTAAGTCGAGATCATTGGCTAGCCATGGGAAGAATTATGAGATATTTATCTGGTACCAAAATTTATGGTTTGTTTTATAACAAGTATCTTGCGGTACTTGAGGGATATAGTGATGCCGATTGGAACACTTTGTCAAGTGATTCTTTATCTACCTCGGGTTTTATTTTTACCTTGGGTGGTGGTGCTATATGTTGGAAGTCTAAAAACAGACTATAATTGCCAATTCTACAATGGAAGCTGAGCTTATAGCGTTAGCTTCAGCATGTGAGGAAGCGAATTAGTTGAGAGATTTGTTACATAAAATTCCTTTTTGGGAAAAACCAATTCATCTTGTGTTAATTCGTTGTGATAGCACTGCTGCTATTAGTAGAGTGAACAACCAT